GCTGAAGTATACAATATTTTTTCTGTCCAAGCATGCTTACTATTGTACCTGAAGATGCCACAAGACTCCTCATTTTGGCTGCAACAGACTAACACCCATGTCCAGACCACTCATTTCCTGATAAAGAGATAGAAATAAAAGAAATAAAATAATACTAATAATACTAATAATAAAATACTACTAAAATAATAATAATAATAGAAATAATAGATTTTTTTCAGTTGCTCCAGTACCTAATATGTGCATACTTGGGCATGTCACATGCATACAAATAATTATTCCCTACCATCTCCTGCTCTATACATACAGCATACTTAATTTTGCAAAAGGAAAACCATGCACATTTAATTGCTAGTAATTAATACATAAACTATTAGATGAATGTGTCTATATTATACCCATTCTTGTACAGTTTCATTAAAAGAAGCAGTGATCCTTCAATAAGATTTATGTGTTCTGCTTTCTGTTATTTGTGAATTGTTAGTTGTGAATTGGCATTTGCCCAGATTTTGCAGATCCTGTCTTCTAGGGAGTTTGCCCCATTTCAAAGCAACTATGCCTCAGCTATACATACAATTGTATAGCTCACATTGGTTCCTTGAAAGTCTGGCTTGGATCAGACTGTGGCTGACAAATTGTAGAAGTTTTTTAGGTGAGTTACTAATTATCTTGACTCATTTCAGTCTGGGTGAGCAGGTGATTCCAGGTACTGCACTCTATCAGAAAGAGTGTATCTGGATTAATATAAATGGAAACAGGAATAAAAGGAGCATAACAGCTGGAGTCTATTATTGTCCACCCAACAGAAGTGAGGATAAAGATGAAACTTTCAAAAAACAAATTGCCAGTATTTCACAAAGGCATGATGTTGTCATTATGGGGGACTTCAATTTCTCTGATATCTGTTGGGAGTCAAATTCTGCCAAACAAGTCCTCTCTAAAATATTCTTAACATGAGTTGCTGATAATTTCCTCCAGCAGAAAGTAGTAGAAGGAGAATGAGAAGTATGGCTTTACTGATCCATCAGCTGCGTCCTTACCTGGATGAGCACTCCCTAGCAACAGTGATACATGCTCTGGTAACTTCCCGGTTGGATTACTGTAACACGTTCTATGTGGGGCTGCCCTTGAAAATAGTCCGGATGCTGAAACTAGTACAGAAAAGAGCTGCCAGGCTGCTGACAGGGACCGGCCATTACTCTCATATAACGCCGGTCCTCTACCAGCTTCACTGGCTTCCAGTTGAAGTACGGGCCCAATTCAAGGTACTGGTTTTGACCTATAAAGCCCTAAATGGCTTGGGACCAGGATACCTGAAGAAACGTCTTCTTTCTTATATGCCCTCACGCCCCTTAAGATCTATGGGAGAAGCTCTGCTCCGGGAACTCTCTCTCAGAGAGGTAAAAAGGTCATCAACTTGGAGTAGGACCTTCTCTGCTGTGGCACCCATACTCTGGAATGTACTCCCCAGAGAGGTATGCCTGGCGCCAAGTTTATACTCTTTTCGGTGCCAGGCCAAAACCTTTTTATTTAAACAGTATTTTAAAATTTAATAGCTTTTAAGTTTAGTCTCTCTGTTTGTTTTGTGATTTATTGTTTTGTTCTGTTTTATTTATTGAAATTGTTGTTTTAATTGTCTTTTTAAATATTGTAAGCCGTCGTGAGATCTTGTATGATAGGATGGCATACAAAAGATGATAATAATAATAATAATAATAGACCTAATCCTACTCAACAGGGAAGACATAGCAGACGAAGTAACAGCTACAGGAACCCTGGGGAAAGTGGCCATGTCTTACTTGAATTCTCAATAATAAAGAGAACTACAACTAAATGTAGCCAAACATACATCCTGGATTTCAAGAAAGCCAGCTTTAAGTAATTCAGGGTTATGATAAACCAAGTTGCATGGCAAACCACTCTAAAGGAAAAGAAGCCCAAGACGGGTGGTATATTTCTAAAAAAAGAAATGCTACGAACAATTCCAACTAGGAAAAAGAGTAGTAGACAACAGAGGAAGCCCATGTGGCTTCACAAAAAGCTAAGAGATAATCTGAAAACAAAAAAGGACATGTATAAGAGGTGGGAGCCTACAAAGGAAGAGTGTAAACAAGTAACAAGGCACTGCAGAGATGACATCAGGAAGGCTAAAGCGATGAATGAACTGAGGCTAGTAAGGGGAGCTAAAAACAACAAAAATGCCTTCTTCAAATATATCCAAAGACAGACAAAAGAGAAGGGAGTTCAGCTATTTAACATGGACGGAACAATGATAACAGATGACAAAGAAAAGGCAGAAGTGTTCAACTCCTACATCAGCTAAGTCTTCTCCCAAAAGAAGAACTACAACTTTCCTGAGGAAGGTGTAGTACAAGCTGAAGGGGCAGGATGACAGCCCAAGATTGATAGACAAATGGTCAAGAATCTTCTAATTGGGCTAAATGAGTTCAAATCTCCAGGACCTGATCAACTTCATCCCAGCATCATAAAAGAGCTAGTGGGAGAACTCTCAGAACCACTTTGAAAATTCATGGAAGACAGGCGAAGTGCCAGGTGATTGGAGAAAGGCTAAAGTTGTCCCTATCTATAAGAAAGGGAAAAAAGATGAACCTGGGGATTAAAGACCAGTTAGTCTGACATTAATCCCTGGAAAAATTCTAGAGCAAATGATAAAGCAAAGAGTCTGCAAACACCTTGAAGAAAATGCAGTAATTACTAGAAGCCAACATAGATTTCTCAAGGACAAATCTTGCCAGACTAATCTAATTTGTTGACTGGGTAAACTCCCAAATGGACTATGGGAATACTGTGAACATAATTTATCCAGACTTTAGCAAAGCCTTTGACAAAGTGCCCGATGATATCCTGATGACCAAACTAGCAAAAAGCAGGCTAGATAGTGCAACCATTTGGTGGATCTAGAATTGGCTACAAAATTGGACTCAAACAGTGCTCATCAATAGCACATTCTCAAGCTGGGGAGAGATGAGAAGTGGGGTGCTGCAAGGTATTGTTGGTGCCCCTGCTAGCCAGGTGACTTACAGACCCCCAAATCGAATGCCAATAAGGTTCAGCAAGGTGGAGATTCATTTTAGGTTCCTTTATTCAGCTGAGCAAAGGCACCGGGTGACTGCTCCCACACGCAGGCAGGCAGCAACACACACACAATCCTGCTTTTTTTCTCTCTTTTTCACTTAATCTTGTCCCCATTGTTTCCTTATCCAATCCCCTCTCAGGGTCTGCCTGACCCTTTAACCAATCCCCTTGCGGGGTCTGCATGTCCACTGCATGCCTGGCCTCTTGAAGGCCCCTTATTTGCATCCAGGCGGAGCGTGATCACTGCCTGCCAGTCCTTGCGTGGGGGGCTTCTCTCACTCACTGCCGCTTATCAACATTCCTTTGCCTTCTCCCTTTTCCTCTCCAAAGCAAGCAGTTATACAGAAAGCAAATGGCTATATGTTTGTTAGGCTAAAAGCAAATAGCATTAGTTAAACTAATCAGGCTCCTTCAATATGAGCAGAGCCAGTTGGATCCAGGAGTCAAACTAGATGGCCCAGGAGGCCCCTTCTGATTCACTATGTTTCTATGTACCTATGTCCTGGGACGAGTACTCTTCAACATTTTTATTAATGATTTAGATGATGAAGTACAAGGAGAGATAATTAAATTTCCAGATAACACAAAACTGGGTGGAATAGCAAATACCCTGGAAGACAGAGGATAAGAGGGTGATCTTGATAGGTTAGAACACTGGGCAGAGAGCAACATAAAACCAAATACATTGCTACAAGATAGGGAACACTTGGCTCAACAATACTGCAAATGAGAAGGATCTGGGGGTTATTGTAGATCACATACTAAATATGAGCGAACAATGTGATGCAGCTGCAAAAAGGGTAAATGCTATTTTGGGTTGCATTAACAGAAGCATCACCTTCAAAACATGAAATACTAGTTCCACAATATTCAGCACTAGTCAGACCTCACTTGGAGTACTGTGTCCAGTTCTGGGCACCTAAGTTTTTAAAAGATGCAGAAAGCTAGAAAGGGTACAAAGGAGAACAGCAAGAATGACTGAGGGACTGGACACAAAGCCCTATGAGAGAAGTTGGTGAGAACTGGGTATGCCCAGCTTCAAGAAGAAAAGACTGAGGGAAGATGTGATAGCACTATAGAAGTACCTCAAAGGCTGCCATAAAGAGGAAGGACAAGATCTCTTCTCATTCATTCCAGAGTGCAGCACATAGAATTTAAGTTAAAAGAAACCAGATTTAGACTAGACCCCAGGAAACATTTCCTCACTGTCAGAGCAGTACGACTGTGAAATCTATTACTTGAGGAAGATGTGGGCTCTCCCCTGCTGAAGACATTCAAAAAGTGTTTGAACAGTCAGATAAATGGGATGCTGTAACTTAGTGTCCTGCAATAGCAGGGGGTTGGACCCAATGGCCTTCATGGCCATTTCCAACTCTAGTGTTCCATGGTTCTTGAGACTTACTCTTTCACTGACTCCAGAACCCTATCATCTGAAAACAGCCATCACTGGCCTCAATTGAAGCAGGTCTGGTTTTTGGTCACTACCTTTTATGGGTGAGACTGTCTGGAAGGGTTCTTATACCACCAGAAATTTCAAAAGAAAGGTTGCTTGTGAATAAAATGCATACATGGTGTCTCACTACTTATATGCTCAGGAATCAGATTAGCCAAAAGTCACACAGCAATTGTGCATTTTGTATATCGTTTACATTTAAACGTTATTAAGCATTATATGTGTAATGCCCCACCAGAACATGATACAAAAAGAAAAAAGACAGTTGACACCATTTTCCCTAGCAGCTTAGCCTGTCGGAGGAGCGTCGCATCACTTTAAGTACTAAGGATGTACGAGAACCCTCAAGCGCTCGAAAGTGTCGTCAAGGCCTACAAAACTTCACCATCAATGCGCCTGTTCCGAGCAATTCTAGGCGCATGCGTACAAGGCTCATGTCGTGGCTTTCTCGCCCAGTCTTCGGCAGGCGTAGGCAAGCGTGTGGCTCGGGCGGTGCTCTTGCTTGCGAGGCTGTCCGCGTCCTGCGTGGACGGCGAGAGACGTTTGGGGTTTGAGGCCGGAACTGGGGACTAGAAGAAACGCTCTGTCGCGGCTCTCAACTTTTTCGTCGACTGGAGAGGCGACTATGAGGGAAGGGAGTGAGTGAGAGAGAGCGAAAGAGAGTGAGCGAGCCAGCGGGGTAGGCGCAACCCGTTCCTCTTCGGAGAAGCGTCCATGGAGGCGGTGAGTGTGCGGGCGTCGATAGCAAAGAAGTAATGGCCCTTTTCTCCCTTCCGTGGGGGTTATTTAAAAAGGGGAGAGCAGGAGGGAATGGGAGGGGAGCTAAAGTGAAAGATGGGGTTAGGATGGATGGGATTTCCTGGGAGCGGGAATCCCTAAGCCCTCCCCTCCTCCTATGGCAAGGCGGGCGTGCACCCCCAAGAGTCTCTGCGCCGGTGGGGAAGCGACAGTTCGATACGGGGAGGGGAGGGCTAGGCTAGGTCAGGTGACTGGTGGACTCGGGGCAGGGGATGCGCGCTTGAGATGAGAGCCTTCCTGCCCCTACCGGATTAGGGGTTAGCAAATGAAAAAAGAACCCGCTTCCTCCCTTGTTGCCTACACGGTCGGCTCGCGAGTGCAAATTCTCATTGCACTTTGGATATAAACAGCCCGACCAGAGCGGGTATGGCTGACATCCTGTTTATAATCGTAACCGGGGCTGCTTGTGTTCTTCAGAGATCTTGGTCTCACTCTCTGCTCTCTCCCCGCTTCCTTTTTCTTGTCACTTCTGCCTGCCTGACTTTCTTGGTACAAGTTTGTTTTTGTCTCAGTTCGGAGATCACCAAATGGAGTAAATGACCCAACATGAAGATTCAAGTTCCTTGTAACAATTGCTAATTCTTATGCTTTTGTTTGTTGTAGCAATCTTCAGGGAAAGGGATCAAGTACAATAGTGATATTGATTATTGACTGAATGGTTCCTGTTAAATGTTGTCACATTAGGAAGTTTCTTGTTCTTTGCAGATGTGTGTGTAGAGCGGGACGGGGAGAAGAGTAGTAATTCTAGGACAAAAATGGGACTGGTCTTGGAAGAAAGAGGAACTGATATATACACAATTGGCAGTGTTGCACAAGGGCAGATGAGCTCTTTGGTGTTGTAGAAAAGAAGCCATGTAGTACTAAGTAAAATATATGACTTTTCTGTGTACGTTATCAATTTATTTATAAATTTTGGTTTATGGATTACTTAGGTAGTAATATGTTACAGAACAATCTATTGCAAACATATTACAGTTGTGTAAAGTGGATTGCATCAGCCAAAAATAAAATGTTGATATTGGTTAAAATGAAGTAGAATTATATGTGACTAACAAACAAGGTGTTACAATAATAACACAACAGGGTAAATTCTGATTCTATATGACAGTGTAGCCATCTTTATAAAGTTACTATTTAGTGTCATTTATTAGTATAAAGAACAATGTCATTTATTAGTATAAAGAACAATTATTGAATTTAACAAAACTGAGCAATACCATTTTGTGCAACTGAAAGATGAATTTGAGTTAATCTGTTCTGGTTGTTCACATTACTCATGGTTTTAGGTTTTTACCTTTTTTGTGGGATGGGTTTTAGGGACCTAAAAGATCCAAATTCAGGTGTCCACGAAGTGTCACTTGGCATTTAAGGTATCTCTGAACTTGCATAGGTAACCTAAACTTTCATAGGTTGTATTGTTCACTCAGTTGCCCAGTTTGCATGACACACAGGAGGTTAATAAGCTGCTGGGGTTTATAAGCTACCTGTATACCATCTGATTTCCCTAATGACCCTTCTTGGTGTGGCTCCTCACCAGCTGAATTGACCAGAAAAAGAGGCAACAACCTGGCTTCTTTCTCCAGCTCTTGTGTGTGTTACATGTGTGCCGGGAAATTTGCCTAAATGTTCCCACAGTGCACAGCTTGCTGTGTCACCTGAAAGCAGTAAGTGCACAGTGGGGAACCTTTACTGTGCATGTGTCCATGTTAGGAGAACATACCATACTGAACAGAGTATGTTCAGTATGAATAGGGGTAGGGAAAAGAATCCAGCATTGCTTTTTTTCTAGCTGTTCATATGTACCCAGGCTATTATGTAGAAACCTGATGAGAGAGGGTGGAAGACAAACCACCCCAAACCCATGATTTGTTCTTAACCATCCCAGCCACCCACATTCACCAGGCTTACATGTAACAACAAGCTGCACCCCACACGGATAATTAGGAAAATGGGCAGTCGCCACCTGGCATGTGTAGGGGTGATCAATAAGCCGCTGAGGCTTATCAGCAACCCATATGTGGAACAATGTAGTGAAGAAGACTATGGGTGCATTTGCACATAAAGGTAAACCATGCTCTATGATAGCTGCACAGCTTGGTATCTTACTTTGGGGCCAGGGTTCAGACAGGCACCTGTTTTCCATGGATGAGTGACTTCCACCCTCCCTTATCTTTCCTCCTTATGGTGGTTGGTATTATATAAGCCCCATGGCTGAAAATCAACCCCATGGTTTATTGCTATTTCCTGCCTCACTTGCCTCTCCCTTATTGGTCCACATTCTTCCCTGGTGTGGCCCTAGCCATCCTGGCACACAGAGGGCCTCAGGGTGGACACTCATGTCGAGGACTGAGGAGGTGTGACCTACTGGGAAGAGCTTATGTGAGCATCTGCCCGGGAAAGTTCTCCAGATTGTTGCAAGAAATATGTTTGCCTCACAGCTTCGATGTGATGGTGGGAGACCAAGGATCTTATTGACAGTCCTAAAGAATGTCACAGACAAAATAGAAGCAGCGGAGATGATGGAAGAGCGGGAGACATGAGCTTTTCGGGGTATTTGTCCTGATGGTGATGCCGATGCACAGCCCTTATGAGCCTCATGTGTATGGGAGCCTTCACATGAGGAGATTGCTGGCTAACTGAAGAGCACAAACAAGCTGCAGTTTCAAAGTGCTGCTCTAGTAAAGTGAAGTGACTAGCCCAAAAGTACCAAGCATGGCTGTATCTGTGGCTGCTGCTGCAGGAGGTGGCATGCAGTGATGCCCCACTGCCAGTGAGATTTCATCACTGTGACTAGGCATCTGAAAGCTGCATCCTGACAAGGCAGAAAGACAGCATAGAACAGGCAATCAGAGCACTGCTCCAGTAGCTCAACACTTACTAGGCAGATTTGGTCAGTGACGAATGCAGGCAGGAGGATCCCTTGGTGCTGAAACCACTCCTGCTGCAGAACTCAATGCTAAAGGCTTGGAAACCCCACAGGAAAGCAGGCCAAGGTGAAGCATGGACACCTTACAATAAGCTATTTCTATGGCATGCTACACTTCACCATGGATGCTGGGTTCAGTTGTAATGACAAGCCATGCTCCCATAGTTTCCACCACAGCTTGTTATTTACATGTGAACCTGCTGCATATGTAATATCAGTTTGCTCAGCAGAGATCAGGTTCACATGATTTCAGAGGAAGAAATACCCATAGGGTTCCACTGTTCCCCTTTATGTGTGAGTCAGGTTTTGGGAGTATTTGCATAATTATACTCAGCAGCATGGCTATAGGTGTACCCAGGTGGCTTATTGTCATGGGTAACAAAGCATCCTCCGCCTATCATAGGCAACATCCCATATGTTTTGAATGGCAACAAGCAGAGGGGACCGGAAATCAAGTGGTTTTTCCGCCCTCTGTGATTGTGTGAACTGGAAGTGTTGACTGGCTGTCATGGTTTTAAAAAGATTTGTATCTTAAGCTTTTTGCTCACTTTTATTTTATTATTTATGAGAATTCAAATCCTACCTTTCTTTTAAAGAACTCAAATTGGTTTACATCATTCTCTTCTAGCTCTCTCTCTCTCTTTCATCCCCATTATAACCCTATGTCATAGGTTGGGCTGAGAGTCTGGGACTGCTCCAAAGTCACCCAGTTGGCTTCATGACTGAGTGGGGCCTAGAACCTAGATCACCTGAGTCCCAGGCCTGAGCTGTTAACCACTACACCACAAGTGTAAACATTTCAGAGTGCAATCTTTTGCATGTTTAGACAAAAAAAGTTCTACAACATCTAGTATCATTCCAAGCAGCCATGCTGACCAGGGCATACTGAAAATCATGGGATTTCTTCTGTCTAAATGCATAGAATTGTTCCCTAAAACATTGATACCTGCCCCTGAGTCTCTGGAGGTGGTGGGTGAATCAAGAATCCAAATAAATGGTGGTTTCCCTAAGCCACTGTATTTCTGAAGGTAATATGATTCATGGAGGGCAAGAAACTTCTTTTCTTTTTTAATGTTAAAGTACAAAATATTGGGTGAAGAAAATTATGCAGTAACTGTTGGAATTTGATAACTGATAATACAACTGAAAGGAAGTGTAGGGTTCTTCCTAGAAAAATGTGTGTACAATTGTAGCCTATGACTACAGTTTTAATAAGTATGTACAGTAGAACTCTGTGGGTCTTCTTTCCCGTTCATACTTAGAATTGGCTGTAACAGTATTGTCTCTTAATACTGTGGATGACAGCCATGATGTGAATTTTGTGAGTTGCCTAGCTATGGAAGTGTATGTGTAACTTATATCCAATTGAAAAATGAATACCAATTTAATTGTATATGACTTGCAAATGGAACTTACAGATACTCATTTTTCTCACATGCATTTTCTTATATTTGAAAAGAACAGGAAATAATGCCAGCAGCTGAGGCTGTTGTTAGTGGCATTATATTGCAGTCTTGTGTATTTAGAAGCAAGCCTCATTGGGTTTAGTGGGTTTACTGCCAGGTAAACTGGCATTGGATTTTTGTTTTGGTAGAGTTTTGTTTTGTTTCTTGTGTTTTTCTTCTACTGGACCTTAGTCTACATTATTTGGATTAGCATGTGAGGTATTTTATGTAATGCCTTCTACTTTAAGGTGAAGGATACTTATTTTATTTCAGATATTTATAACTTGCCTTTCAGGGTGTGCTGTCTTCAGCAGACAACATTATAGAATACAAAACAAGGGTAATTTGCAAAATGCAGCCAACAGCAAGTAAAAAAAATTAAAATATGAAATGCACACTAAAGTAAATGTGGCCTCATATTTTCTTTATCTCCCTGTGGGGGGAGTTCCAAAGGAATAAGAAAACCATATTTTTAATTTCCACCAGACTAATGACTCTTGCTGATGGGCCAGATAATAGATTTTTTGCAGATTATAAAGCTTTGGGAGGCTCAT